TAGTACTTGAGATATCAGTGGAAAACCGAAAATTGACTAATCATTATGCAAATTAGGTAATTAGTATCCACGGATTATTACCAAAAACTAATCAAAACCTAGCATTAGTTCAGAGCATCTATGTACCAAGTTTCATCAAAATCCAATGAGTGGTTGTTTAAATATCAGTGGAACAGTCATGGAACCACTAAAAAATAGCTAATTATCATGCAAATTAGGTAATTAATATGCACGGATTTTTACCAAAAATTAATCAAATCTGCGCATTGGCCCAGAGCATCTATGCACCAAGTTTCATCAAAAACCGATGTATGGTTCTTGAGATAGCAGTGGAACAGTCGGACACACATACACACATACACACACACATACACACATACAGACACACTAACTGCAAAGACTCCCATTTTGTGCTTCGCACATGGGAGTCAAAAATGACACAGTCCCCGTTAAATTTTTTAAAGTTCGCTTTGTGCTCGTCATATTAAAGTGGAGGGGTCGTCGTGAGTGTCCTTGAAACTTGAGTTCTAAGTGGTATATACAACAGATTGTTTATTTACATCCAAACACATGTTCTGTGTAGTAGTAATATGGCCAAAAATAAAAACAGCCGTTATTCGGCCATCTTTGATCTGATTATGAAACACACTGATATGTATGATGTATGTGCCAAATACAAATGAAAATGGTACATAAATTGTGGAAATATAGTAGTAAAGCCAAAAAGTCAGATGCCTGTCAATCGGCCATCCTTGACCAGATTTTGAAACAAATTGTCATGGACATGCATCCTAACATGTATAAAGTACATGTATGTGCCAAATTTGAATGAAAACTGACAGAGCACATCCAAGATACCGCATATAAAAAAAACAAGATGCCTGCCAGTTGACCATCTTTGATATAATTGCGAAATAAATCGTCATGGACATGTATCCTAATATAATCTATGTACCAAGTTTGAATGACAAAGCATGTTCAAAGTACAACATTTTCAAAAAACAAGATGGCTGCCAGTCGGCTATTTTGAATCGAATCGCCAAACCACTGCATGTGCATATGTCCCACATAAGGTACTAGGCACATGCAAAGAATCAACGGAATCGGCCACAGGATTCTGAAATATGACTCTGGACAGACTGACACACGGACGGATGGACAGGCTCAGGAACTCACGGATGGTTGGGGACATGTAACGTCACATGTATGATCTATGTACTAAATTTGAATGAAAACTGACAAAGCATGTCCAAAATACGCCATTTTCAAAAAACAAGATGACTGCCAGTCGGCCATCTTTGATCCAATTGTGAAATAAATCGTCATGGACATGTATCCTAACATGTATACTCTATGTACCAAGTTTGAATGAAAACTGACAAAGCATGTCCAAAA